GAAAGAGAAAACTCCTTCGCTGGTGCTCTCGATTGATACCGAAAAGTCTTTTGACAGAGTAAACTTGGGATATATGCTGGACACTTTGAAAGTACTGGGGATGGGACCTAGGATGAGAGAATGGATAAGGAATTTATATAGTCAACCTTCGGCTGCAATCATGGTTAATGGGGAATTAACAGAATATTTTGGGATGCAAAATGGTACAAGGCAGGGATGTCCTTTATCTCCTTTGCTATATGTCCTATCTCTGGAATCGCTTTTGGCTACTATAAGGAATAATATAGATATAAAGGGAATTTGGGTAGGAAAAACAAAGCATAACGTGGCAGCTTATGCAGACGATATGTTATTTTATGTGGGGCATCCAAGGACAACACTGCCAAATTTACTGAAAGCTTTAAAAGAATATGGTGAGATATCTAATTTAAAAATTAACCCTATTAAAACAAAGATTTTAAATATAAACTTCCCTAATAGAGAGAAAAAAATGTTACAGGAGGAAATTCCTTTTGTTTGGAGAGAAATAGAATTAAAATATTTAGGTATAAAGTTAACATCATCTCCAAAGAACTTATATAGATCAAACATCCCACTATTAAATGAGATTAAGGACGAATAAAGGAAATTAGCATGGGGATCTCTGTCATGGCTAGGACGGATAAACCTGATAAAAAATGGTAATTGTTCCAAACATTTTATATAAATTTCAAATGATACCTATTAATACTACCAGAAGCATATTTTAGAATAATTAGAAACATTTTAACAAAATATATTTGGAGGAATAAGAAAGCTAGAATAAGTTATGATATTTTGAGCAGAGATAAAGAGAAAGGAGGATTAGGAGTACCAGATTTGAAAAAATATTATAACTCAGTAATATTGGCTAGAATCTACGATTGGACACACAATGCAAAGGGGAAAAGCTGGGTAAAAATAGAAAAATACATTAAGTCATGCAAATTTGAGTAAAATTATATGGTTACCTCCACAATTTCGTGGATTAGCAGATAGTACAAGTGTGTTTACACGTAATGTTTTAAGAATTTGGGATGTTTTACACAAACAAATGAGAAGGGAATTTAATTCACTGTTAATGCCCTCATGGTCCACAGAGTTTTCCCCCCCAGGTAAAGAAAGTATCACAGGCAGGTGGATAAAGAAGAAAGATGTACAATTAAGAGAAATAATGGTGGGAGAAGAAGTATGTTCTAATAGGGAAATGGAAAATAAAAGTGAAATATTTGTGAGATTGGATGAGTGGCGTTATTTTCAATTAAAACACTTTGTGAGGAAGCTTCCAGGGCCATTGAGAACAAAGGAGAACTGGAACCCTTTTGAGCACTTGTTAGATACACGAGGAGATGGGAAACACAGGGTTTCTAAAGTATATAAAATTTTTATAGAATTAAACATGGTCACAAAGCCCCCATTTATAGAGAAATGGGAAAGGGATTTAGGAGTAATTGTAGATGAGGAAAAGCAAAAGAAAATATATAGATTAATACACGGTAATGTAAATATGAGAGAGGTGGAAATGAATTATAAATGTATAACAAGATGGTATATTACACCGAGTGTAGCACATAGAATAAGGGGAGATAATTCACCTATGTGTTGGCGTGGATGTGGAGGTAGAGGCACAATGTTTCACATTTGGTGGGAGTGTGATAAAATACAAGAATATTGGGGAGGTATAGTCTGCTTAATTCAGGAAATAACGGAGGTTAATATACCAAAGGACCCAGAGACTGTTCTCTTTTATGGTGTTAAACTTTCAGTGAAAGAATATAAAAACTCAAGTTTAATGTACTATTTGAATGCAGCGAAGGGAATGATACCCAAGTTTTGGAAGGAACAAGAAGCACCAAAAATAAAGGATTGGGTAGATAAGGTGGAGCAGGTATATAGATTGAAGGAACTTTATCATATGGACAAGGACAAGATGGGGGTTTTCTGGTTAAGGTGGAGGAAATGGGAAGAATTTAAAAAATCAGATTTATATCTAGAATATAGCTAGAAGAGCTCAGAAACCATCTGTGAAAAAGGAAGCAGTAAAGTGGTAATATTCACAGATTAGGATCTCTAGAACGAGTAGAACATCGCAAAGTCTAGACTGTCAGGGATGAGGTGGAGAAGGAGGGGAAGTATGTTGTACATCGGGAAGTGGGGATGGGTGGGGGAATAGGACATTAAGATGAAAGTTAATATTTTTGATATTATGTTAGGTAAATGCAAATTTTATAGTTTGATTGTCATTTCAATGTTTGTATGTATAAATTGGTAATTTGAAACATTTATAATAAAATATTTAAATTAAAAAAAAAGAAGATTAATCTTCTGCTTTACCCTTCCAAAAAAATGTTTTGGCTTTAAGTAATGTATAATGTATCTGAGCACCACAAACGAAGAGTGCTTTTTAATTAATTTGTAATATTCAAAGCAAAGCAACTCCCCCATCCATCCATTTCTCCATGCTTTATTTTGCTTACAAAAACACCCCTTAGCATTTCTGGCAGTGGCTATCTTGAGTAAGGGCGGATGATTCATGTAAAATTTACTTCCTGAAATCCATCTGCCCTCAGCTCAAGCATGTAGACAGGAGGGTGTGTTTAGCTGAAAAATCCCATCCTGAAGATTCCTGGGATGTATGACATCATTTGCCTAGGCATGAAAACTAGGAAATACCATATTTGCCGGCGTATAAGACGACTTTTTGACCCTTGAAAATCTTCTCAAAAGTCGGGGGTCGTCTTATACGCCGGTACACGTCAGGGGGCACTTTTTAGGGGGGCGGCGCGGTGCTGCCGCCGCCCCCCCCCCCTTCCGACGGAAGGGACACCAAGTACAGGGGTGCGCAGAGGGCTGCAGTCTCTTACCTGGCTCCCACGACGATCCATCCAGGAAACGCTGCTCCTTCAGTCACTCCGGCCACTCCCTCACTCCTGCCGCTCGGCTCCGCCTCCTCACCGGTGATTGGCCGCCAGAACTGTAGCTCAGGAGAGGCACACAGGCGGCCAATCACGGGTGAGGATGCGGAGCCGAGCGGACCCGCGAAAATCGAGTGAGGGTAAGTGTGCAGTGCAGAGGTGCTGCTGCAACCACATATGCTGGCTGCAGCAGTACCATACTAGAACAGGAGTCAGCAAGTGTCATTGGTGTCAGTAGTAGGAATAGTGCCGCATCATTGGTGTCACTGATACTAATGATGGGGCATTATTCCTCCCACTGACACCTATGATGGGGCACTATTCCTCCCACTGACACCAACGAGGGGGCACTATTCCTCCTCCCACTGACACCAACGATGGGGCACTATTCCTCCCCCCACTGACACCAACGATGGGGCACTATTCCTCCCCCCACTGACACCAATGATGGGGCACTATTCCTCCCCCCACTCACACTAATGGTGGGGCACTATTCCTCCCACTGACACCAATGTTGGGACACTATTCCTCCCACTGACACCAATGATGAGGCACTATTACTCCCACTGACACCAATGATGGGGCGCTATTCCTCCCACTGACACCAATGATGGGGCGCTATTCCTCCCACTGACACCAATGATGGGGTGCTATTCCTCCCACTGACACCAATGATGGGGCGCTATTCCTTCCACTGACACAAATGATGGGGCGCTATTCCTCCCACTGACACCAATGATGGGACGCTATTCCTCCCACTGACACCAATGATGGGGCGCTATTCCTTCCACTGACACAAATGATGGGGCGCTATTCCTCCCACTGACACCAATGATGGGGCGCTATTCCTCCCACTGACACCAATGATGGGATACGATTCTTCCCACTGATACCAATGATGGGGCGCTATTCCTTCCACTGACACAAATGATGGGGCACTATTCCTCCCACTGATACCAATGATGGGGCACTATTCCTCCCACTGATACCAATGATGGGGCACTATTCCTCCCACTGACACCAATGATGGGGCACTATTCCTCCCACTGACACCAATGATGGGGCACTATTCCTCCCACGGACACCAATGATGGGGCACTATTCCTCCCACTGACACCAATGATGGGGCACTATTCCTCCCACTGACACTAATGATGGGACACTATTCCTCACACACTGACACTAATGATGGGGCACCATCATTGGTGTCAATGGGAGGAATAGTGCCCCATCATTGGTGTCAGTGGGAGGAATAGTGCCCCATCATTGGAATACCATACCATATTGAAATCAAATCTGATGTTTTTTAATTTTTGGTGTGCGTTGGAAGAGGGGTAGTCTTATACGGCGAGTATAGCCCAAACCCTATATTTTAACAGGAAAAGTAGGGGGTCGTCTTATACGCCAAGTCGTCTTATACGCCGGCAAATACGGTAACTAAAGAAACGTAAAAAAAAACAGTTTAAACAGATAAATTTTTTATATTTTCCTATCTGTTTACTAATGCTAGCAGCATAAGGATGGTGATTGAGAGAGTGAAGTTCCACTTTAAAAGATGTGCGCAGGCGACATAAACAGTTTCAGTCTTTTGATTGCTACTTATTATCCACTTGCCCTCTAGAGGATTTCCCCCCCACCCCCTTCCTGACCAGGCCATTTTTTGCAATACAGCGCTGCATTACTTTAACTGACAATTGTGCGGTCTCCCACAAATGGAGCTTTCTTTTGGTGTTATTTGATCGCCTCTGCATTTTTTATTTTTTTGCACTATAAGTAAAAAAAAAAACAATATTTTTTACTTTTTGCTATAAAACATATCCAGTAAAAAAAATTCAAAACATTTAATTTAATCATAAATTTAGGCAAAAATGTATTTCTGTTACATGTCTTTGCTGAAAAAAAAGTCCCAATACATGCAAATTAATTGGTTTACGTGAAAGTTACAGCATCTACAAATGGTGGTATATATACTGGGATTTTTTTTATATATATATACTAGTAATGGCGGTGATCAGCGACTTATAGCGGGACTGCGGTGGGCTTTCTGACACTGAGGGGGGGAACTGACTAACTGCCACTGACATCCCCAGTGACACTAATACAGTGATTAGTGCTAATAAAAAGCACTGACACTGTACTAATAACACTGGACAGGAAGGGGTTAACATCTGGGGCGATCAAAGGGCTAACTGTGTGCTGTGTGTTTTTTACTGTGTGCTGTGCTTTACTAGGGAGGTATGCTGATTTGTATTGCTCTGCAAAGCAGCATGCTGGAGCTGACAGGGGAGAGATCTGTACTGTTTACATAAAGACCTCTCCCCCATTAGTGATAGTCAGCGATCGCCGGGTGCCAGTAGGGAATCTCCAGCTGGGACCCAGTGATTGACAGCTGTAGCTGTCAATGGCGGCACGCACGCCCCCTACCCAGAAATACAAAATCACATATATATGTGATTTTGCACAGCCCTGCAGCCCTGTAGCAGTATTTGTGCTATAGAGCAGCGGGGAAATGGTTAATGTCTAAATAATTCTTCACAACACAGGTGCATTACAATGTGGTGCGTTGCAGTGCCATTCATTTTGAAAGGCACCCAACACACTAAAACGGGACAACCATTGCACGTTCATTACATTATGGTTCACTGCATCTGCAAAAATGCGGCAAGTCCAGGTGTGAGGTTGGCTTTTGTAATTCCTAAGGACAGGATATGGAAAATACATCTGTACCCATTGCCCTTGTTCTCTGTGATAAGCAGAAGATTCCCCACATCCTTGACGAGGAGCTGCCAGTCCCTCCCCAGGCGGTTGCCTTTTGATCCATCCATTATTCCATTATCCGCCTCAGGACGCACCACCTGTGCTCACAGTGCCACCATTCCAGTCACATAGGATCTTCACCATCCCCGACAAGGCTTGCCGGCTCCCATCCAGGTGCCCTGGTTCCTTGATCTGCCTTCTCCTCCCATTGCCTATCCTATGGACCACTCCACCTAGTGACTCTTCTCCATCATTTTCTGTGTTCCTAGTCAGTTCCCATTTTTGCTTCCACTAGACCATATATCATCATTCCATTCTATGTCGTTAGAGCGCTGAATTTTTGTTCGTTATCTATTGATCATTGCATGTACCCTTGTTCTCTGTGCAAAGTGTCAGCTCAAGTTTTATTCACAAAATTTTGCAATTCCTTTAAATCTAAAAATGTTAATTCATGGCGACCAATTTACTAGAAGCCATGAAGGATATGCTCATAAATTATCCTATCTTTGTGGCAGTGAGCGTTGCCCACTGCCTGTTTTGATAAATAACCCTATTAGTATAAAAGTATCCTTACAAATAAAGTTTTGACACATCATTAAGTTTGTTTGGAACACTCGGTTCAAAGGGTATATGCTAATCAGATTTTAAACTATGCTGTCTAAAATCCAACACAGAATAGCTTTTTGTGTTCCTGTGTGAACGCTTCATTAAGTATACAGCAAATTAGTGAGGTTGCATAGAGAAGTATTAATGCCTCCAGAATGGAAGGTTAGAATTGTGAATGCAAAAGTTTCATATAATCATCTGACTTGAAACTAAGCTTCAAACACTTCAAGGGTGATTTATTGGATTACAGAAAAAATATTTACCCATGGCAACCAATCAGATTAACGTTACAAAGTTTATGGCAGAGGAGGCAGGAAAAAGGCAGAACTGGAGTGGTTATTAGAGGCAAAACAGACATTTTTTCCTTTCCATTTGTAGAACTAAATCAGCCCCAGAAGACTTTAAGTGCCTGAAGTGTGTTTAAAAGAAAGTCTGATTAGCGTCTGATAATATCTGTATAAAAAAGTGCAGAGCTAAAAACATACAAAATATATATATCAAGTTAAACAATCAAATGCAGCATATAAATATGGAAAAATATAAAACTTGCGCATTAATATGGAAATCAGCAGGAAATAAAGTCTGTGAATAAATGTGACATTCCATGCACTAAGTGCAATAAATAAATTCAATAATAATGTTCACGGTTGTGGAGGTATATGGTTAACCCCTCGGCTGCCTCTTCACCTCCAGATGTGATTTACTATATGCCTGATATCATATACCTTCTGGTGAGTGTACACCCATCTGAGGTGGTGGATTCCCCTGTGTGATTGATTGCATGCTCACACCCTGCACTTTGCATTATTGCACTTTATTATCACAAGGACACTATTTGAACGCAGTTATTGGATGGAATTTTGATTATAATATTGCACATATTTGATATGTGCAACCGTGAACATTATTATTGATTTTATTTATTGCACTTTCAGTGCACGGAATGTCACATTTATTTTCTACTAATTTCCATATTTATGCACATGTTTTATAATGTTATATATTTTTATGCTGCATTTGCTGCAACCGTGAACATTATTATTGATTTTATTTATTGCACTTTCAGTGCACAGAATGTCACATTTATTTTTTGCTAATTTCCATATTTATGCACAAGTTTTATAATTTTATATATTTATATGTTGCATTTGCTGCAACCATGAACATTATTATTGATTTTATTTATTGCGCTTTCAGTGCACGGAATGTCACATTTATGTTTTGCAAATTTCCATATTTATGCCACAAGTTTTATAATTTATATATTTATATGCTGCATTTGCTGCAGCCGTGAACATTATTATTGCATTTATTTATTGCACTTAGTGCACCGATTGTCACATTTATTCACAGACTTTATTTCTTGCTGATTTCCATATTTATGCGCAAGTTTTATATTTTTACATATTTATATGCTGCATTTGACTGTTTCACTTGATATATATATTGTGCGTTTTTAGCTCTGCACTTTTTTATACATATACTTGTGGGGATTGTTACCTATACCTTGAGTGCCAGCTGCTTTAATAGTTTTACTAGTGCTCGTCTGTACATTTTATATATATTTACTATTGTCTGATAATATCTGTTCAGATTTTTTCAAGTATTCAAACGATTAAGGGAAACTTGGAAGGTTTTGGGTAAATTTTATTTTAAATTTTTTACGGTTAACTTTAATTTCACTCAGCTACCCCCTCATCACCCCTCTCCCACAGCCCCACCACTGCTCTGACCTCCTCTTCCACCCCACCCTACATTCCTCATACGGAAGCTCCCCCAACACTCCACACCTTTGACCTTACTACCATCGAGGAAGTCTCCAAGATCCTCTCTGATGCCCGCCTCACCACCTGCCCCCTCGACCCTATCCCCTCACAACTCCTACGACCTTCCTCCTTCTCCATCCTACGCTCCCTCACCCACATCTTCAATCTCTCCCTCTCCTCAGGCACTTTCCCCTCCCTCTGAAACATGCACACATCACCCCCATACTTAAAAAGCCCTCCCTGGACCCCAATGACCCGAACAACCTCAGACCCATCTCCCTGCTCCCATTTACATCTAAACTCCTCGAGCGCCTAGTCTACACCCGCCTATGCTCTCACCTCAACGACAACAACCTCCTCGATCCCCTACAGTCCGGCTTCCGTCCCCTACACTCCACCGAAACTGCCTTACTCAAACTCTCCAACGACCTGCTAACCGCCAAAGCTAATGGCCACTATTCAGTGCTCCTACTCCTTGACCTCTCTGCGGCCTTCGACACAGTCAACCACCCCCTTCTCCTCAAAAAACTACACTCCCTCAGCCTCAGAGATTCTGCTCTCTCCTGGCTCTCATCCTACCTGTCACAACGCTCCTTCAGCGTTACCTATAATGCTACCACCTCCCCCTCACTCCCCCTCTCTGTTGGGGTCCCTCAAGGCTCTGTCCTCGGGCCCCTTCTCTTCTCCATCTATACCTCCTCCCTTGGCCAACTCATACACTCTCACGGCTTCAACTACCACCTCTATGCCGACGACACACAAATCTATCTCTCAACCCCCCACCTCACCCCCTTGGTCTCAGCCCGAATCACACACCTACTGAGCGACATATCAGACTGGATGTCGCTCCACTTCCTTAAATTGAACCTCTCCAAAACCGAGTTTCTTGTCTTCCCCCCAGCCCGGACACCACCCCCCATTGATTTCTCCATCACATCCAACAACGCTACCATCAAACCCGCCCTGCAGGCCAGAGTACTGGGTGTCATTCTGGACTCCAACCTATCCTTCCAGCCCCAAGTCCAATCTTTAACAAACTCGTGCAGACTCCACCTCCGCAACATCGCCAAAATCCGCACGTTCCTAACCCCAGAAACCACTAAAGAGCTCATCCACTCCCTCATCATATCACGACTTGACTACTGCAACTCCCTCCTCACTGGCCTGCCTCGCCGCTGGCTATCCCCTCTTCAGTCCATCCTGAACACGGCTGCCAGACTCATTCACCTTTCCAACCGCACTGTCTCCGCCACCCCCCTCTGCCAATCCCTCCGCTGGCTTCCGATTGCGCAACGGATCAAATTCAAAATCCTAACGCTGACGTACAAAGCTGTCCACCATACTGCCCCGAACTACATCACTGACCTAATATCCAAGTACCGCCCAGCACGCACACTCCGCTCCTCACAAGACCTCCTTCTCTCTAGTTCCCTGGTCTCCTCCTCCCATGCCCGCCTCCAGGACTTCTCCAGGGTGTCACCCATCCTCTGGAACTCCCTGCCCCAACCCATCAGATTATCACCTACTCTCCTCTCCTTTAGGCGCACCCTGAAAACCCATCTCTTCAGGGAAGCCTACCCCACCCCCTGCTAACTTGCCGACCTCCTCCACTCTTCCTACCACTCCATCCCCCACAGCTATCTCCTCCTGTGCCACCACCCCCTCCCTCCTAGATTGTAAGCTCGAAAGAGCAGGGCCCTTGATCCCCTCATGTTTTGCATTGTATTGGTATTGTTCTGTCACATGTTCTGTCTCCCTTTTGTAATGTACAGCGCTGAGCGAACTATTGGCGCTTTATAAATACTGTATAATAATAATTATATATATATATATATACTGTATGTATATGACAGAAGCATGGCCTCTCGGTGTGGAAGTGTGGCTGGGAGGTAGTTTTGGCAGTGAAAAAGTGCTTGTGTCTCCAGAACAGAACAACTCAAGTGGGGGTTACAATTAAGGACAGGTAGGTCTGCTGCACAAAAGAGATAGACTGCAGTCAGGCAGGGCCACTCATTAACTAGTGTTGTTCTGGCAGTGAATAAAGCAGACACCCTGCAGGTGGGTGTCCAGGTACCCATGCTAAGGGTGACGTGTTAAGCCCTGTAC